AAGCATACATTTAGGAGGCATTTCCGCCCCAACCATGTACATGTATGGCATTGGTATTGGTGTGACTTTTGAATTGATTTTTTCGCTCTATTTTAAACTAATTTGAAATTTTAAAAATTGCCTGCACATCAGCATCAAAATACCTTTCTAATGATATATAATTGTTTATACCTTAGAAGTACAGTTTAGCCGTAAAAGGGGTGTAAAGGAAACATGATTGCCTATTTATATAATTGATATGCGTGCAGTCTAAAGCCGTTACCACGCGAGGAAATTTCCCTACTAAATAAAACTTTTCGTGCAGCCATTTTTGCTCTTCTGCAGTTGTGGGAAATGAAATAAACTGCGCTCGTAATACAGCTATGTGGTGCGAAACCAACCTTATGACTCGGGAAGTAGTGCTATTAGAAACTCCGACTAAGTCCCCTCCAGTCCTTTGCATGCACCCCGCGGCATAGAATCGCAAAGTGAGCAGAAGCATTTCTTCGGGAGTTAGAGCATCGTTCCTGGAGTAAAAGTCATTGGCGCATATTCATAGTCACATGAACGAAAGACACAAGATCACGCTTTCCCGAAAGAAAGAAAAAAGTTATTTTCTAGCTGTTGAAATCTCGACGCCATCTTTGTTGTAAGAAGTAAACAACGAAGAGAACAAAAAAACCCCCGGAATTGTTGAACGCAAGAATAATCATTTTTATTATGCAAATTCTTCTATAAATCATGTCGTTGTGTTAAATTATTCTTTACCTTATGTGTGCACACGTTGTCACAAGCGAAAATTAAGAAAATTGCAGTAAAAAGCCACCACCAAATTGTAAACAACGAACAAATGTAAAAAAACGGCTAATGTCAAAGTCGCCCAACTTTTTTCCTAAATGCGATTATAACGGGCTACTAAGAAGAAGGCGTGATCTTGTATTTTTGGTTCATGCATAGTCATATTTAGTACTCAACCAAGTCGAAACTATTCTAATACTAGGTTCACATATAAGTAGATTATCCTCATTTTCGAGCTTAACACCCTAATCTGTAATTATAACAAGAGATTAACCATATAAAATTCGTCCCTTGTTAATCTGTAATTATAAAATAATCTCAGATTAAACCGATAACTTTTCGGTGTCCATCCTAGTTTTATCGATTGTTTTTGCAAAAAAGAGGAGAAATGCCAAATGTAAAAGTAAACATAAATGTACGCTAGCACGGAAAAGAGGTTTGTAAAGGTATTTTTATTACAATTCGAATAAAGCTACATCACAATTTTATAATTGGAATAATTTAGATAAATTCTCAAATAATAAGTCAGTTTCACGCTAGTTCTTTTAAAGTAAATTTGTGCATAAGATTTAGATATATACTATTTGTATGTTTCACAGCATGCTTTCGATAAACATCGACTTCACATCACTGCGGTTGTTCTGGCTATTTCATACAATTAACAAGAAAATGATAGCTTATTCTTTTGCATAATCATGCAATGAAAATAAAAATTACATAAACGGATGATCAAACTTTACATTATTTAATAAAAAGGTAATTTTTCCAAAATATCGTAGAGGAATATCGATAAATTTTCATACTTGTTTTGCTATATCGTAAATTAAGTCGAAACTACTTAGTAGAAGTCTGAAATGGGACTATGAATAGAGGTAAATTTTAAGTTGGTAGTTAAATTTAAGTTGCAACTTTGTTAGTTTCGACTTAGTTGCTGGACAATGAATACGCGCCATTATAAGCAGTACACAATTCCTCTAACAGGTCTATTCTGCGCTGGTAATAAAAAGTTTGTAACCGGTAAATAAAGTTCCTGTAAATTTTTAAACCCTTTTCGCATTCTGTATACTCTTGTAACAGGTAAATTTTGTTACCATCTCATAAGCTGGTAACAAATTATTGCCCCGTGAAATATGCAATGCCAGGATTTGTACAATTCTTCATAGATGAATTGCTGAATATTTTAACTGCATTACCAACGTACCTAGAATCGCGGTGACAAGAACTGGTAACATTTTTTGGTAATACAATTTTCCGGTTACAAAATCTTCGGTAACGTGCAGAATAGACCGGTAAATCGGGTTTACCATGTAATTTTATGTTGGATTCTTTCCCGTATCATCCTTAACACGATCCATGCTGACGCTTTGCTTACACGAAATCTGTCCCGGAAATCCTTCTCGTCCAAGTCTCTGAAACGGGTTGGCGCATCCCTTATAGACCGCGGACGTTGCGTTATAATGATGCGCTCTAGAACCTCGCATTCCATGTCACTTTCGTCACTCGAACTAATTTTAATATTATTTAATTTGAATCACTTTTGCCTTTTATTTACTTATTTATATTTTATTNCAAGTCTCTGAAACGGGTTGGCGCATCCCTTATAGACCGCGGACGTTGCGTTATAATGATGCGCTCTAGAACCTCGCATTCCATGTCACTTTCGTCACTCGAACTAATTTTAATATTATTTAATTTGAATCACTTTTGCCTTTTATTTACTTATTTATATTTTATTTTGAGTAATCAGCTGCCGTTTAGTCGAGAAGCAGGGTTGCATTTTTCATATTTAAATAGCCGACATACGGCATTTAAATACAGTTTAAATATTTCATCTGAAAATGAAAAATCATCAATCGGTATTTAAATAGGCGATCTGAAATAGGCCATAAGCCTCCCGCAGCTAAAAACTATATATTTGCAAGCAGGAGAACTCCCTCTACCCCCCTTTAGGGTAATTAAACTGTATGTTTTTACACTTGCTTAAATTCTTGAAGTTAAATTNGATCTGAAATAGGCCATAAGCCTCCCGCAGCTAAAAACTATATATTTGCAAGCAGGAGAACTCCCTCTACCCCCCTTTAGGGTAATTAAACTGTATGTTTT